TAGGGAAACTTTGCAAGTGATGATGGGTACAAGACCATGAAAGATTTCTTGTGGCTTTCTCCTTTTTTACTTCCTTTTCTATTTATTTTTCCCTTTCAGATCTATTTTGACCGGGCTGTTCCCTACATCATCAGGTACTATCTTTGTCTATGGTAAAGACATCAAGACTGACCAGGAAGTTATCAGGAAGAACATGGGTGTGTGTATGCAACACAATGTGCTATTCAATTACCTCACCACAAAGGAGCACCTGCTGCTCTATGGGTACATCAAAGTCCCTCACTGGAGTAAGGAGGAGCTCTACCAAGAAGTGAAGAGGTATAAAAATAGCAGGGTCAGAGAAGGGATAGGGCTGCCAAAATTACTCACTTTGTGGTGGTGCCATTGCCACTGCAAAGCTCAAGCGCGTGGTTTTGAGCTCTGCTGTGGCCCAGCTTAGAGTCCAGGTAACGCAGAAGGCCTGCCTGGAGGAATATATTGAGTGTTGAAATCTGTGGCTGTCAGAAAACAAGGTCTCTTCTCTTGGGGGGTTTACAAGCCTCTGTGGCAATTCTTTGGAGATGAGTTATAGGCCTAAGGTCTGGTCCTTGCTTCTTTATAATTTTCCCCAGAAAGAGATATAATCAACCCGTCAGAAAGAGGACGCCAACTTTATTGATTTTTGCAAAGAAGTGATGCAGCCAGACCATCCCAGGGAGTTTGGATTTTGGTGTTCTCAGTTCATGAGGTTGAGCTTTTAACCTTGGCTTCTCAGAAGACACCCTAAAAAACATTAAAATTAAAATCCCAGTGACTGAGCTGCAGGGTGAATCATCTCTCAGCGCTGCGACCGCTCAGCAGAGCAGTCCACGTTTGAGAAGTTGTTCATCTGCAGCTACGTTGTTTGCTGTTTCTAGATTCCCTGCTTTTTTAAAAAAAAAAGATTCCTGAAGTGCAACCTTTGGGAGTGTTTTTTTCTTTGTTTTCAAGGACTTTGAAGGAGACTGGACTATATGGCCATCGTCACAAACTAACTGGTTCCCTGTCCGGGGGGATGAAGAGGAAGTTGTCTATAGCTATTGCTCTCCTGGGTGGATCAAGGGTTGTGATACTGGATGAACCAACCACGGGGGTGGATCCATGCTCTCGGAGGAGTATTTGGGAAATTATCTCCAAGAATAAAAAAGGTACTGTGCTGAGACAGGAGGTCACCCAGTGGCAAAGGTGACTTGTGTCACTTCTGAAAATAAGACATCAGTGGTTTTGAGCTCTGGGTTTTAGAGACCACAGAGAACTAACTGGGGGGGACTGGGACTTTGCAAGCTCCTCTGGCGGAATCCTGAGTGGTTCTTGTAAAATCAGAGTGTCATTGGAAAAGTAAGTTTACCATAATAGGCAGATTATGTTATGATGACTTTCAGTTTCTCTCTGCTGTTGCCTTTCATCCATTTTTACTATTGATTCCAAAAGAGGGCAGTGTATTTTCACCTGATATTCTGTGTTCTCCAATTCAGCGTAGCTTTCACCTGTCTCACATCGTTATGCGTTTTTATTCTGTGCTGGCTAACATCAGCTTTGCGTTTTCCAGGCAGAACCATTATTCTCTCAACGCATCACTTGGATGAAGCAGAAGTTCTGAGTGACCGAATTGCCTTCCTGGAGCATGGAGGGCTCAAATGCTGTGGGTCACCATTCTATCTCAAGGAAACGTTTGGTGATGGATACCACCTGACTCTCACCAAAAAAAAGGTTTGTGTAAGAAGGTTTTTTTGTAAGAATGTATAGAAATTTGTGTAGGAAGGTTTGTGTCAGAGTTCATCCTAAATTTTCAGGCTCGTAAGAAGATAAATATTTGTTTTTGAGATAGACATCTCGCGGGAAGCCTAGTCAGTCATAGCGTCCCAGAGAAATAAAGCATCTTGCGGAAGGTTTATCTCAGCCTTACATTTCTGCCATGGAAGGGGTATTCCAGTATAATTTCACTTTTATGGCATAGCATCTCTGTGTGACCACTTTATTCCAGGATGAAAGTGTGTGAACCAGGGCCGGAGTGATCTACTTTGGAACAGTGTGTTGTGACAAGGAAAAGGCAATGTGGGCTGCAAATGGGCTCTGCTTGCTGCCTGAGAGTTCAAGGCTGAGTAGGAATTGAATGGCTGGGCGGATGTTTCCCCAGTGCAGTGAGTGGGGAAAAGAGTGTCATTGCTCTTTTTGGCTGCCAAAAGCACAGAAAACCTCTGGGAATGTTTGCCTGCTCTTTCTCAGTTGGTTTACTTTCTGGTTTTCTAGACAGTAAGACAAGCCCTGAAGAGAGCGCTTTAAAAATGACTACCTGGAGCTTTATTGCTTTTCGCTGGCTGGTACAGTGAGATGCCAGCACTCACATGTGTTTAGATTTTGGGTAACCCACATGAGGAGGGACTCTCAATATCATTAGATATTGAGAAAAGTCAGTGGAAGGGTTTTTGGATTTTGAGTTGAAAATTTTTTGGCCACAGAGGTTCAAGGATATGCTGGAGTGTTTTCCTGGGCTGTCAGTAAAGTCCTTTTTCCATATGGCCCAGCCACTGAGATACTCGGGGTTAGGATGCGCTCTGTTCTCTGGCTTGCTTTGCTTGCCCTGTGCTGGTATTCACTCGCTTGTTATAAATAAGCTTCCTTCAGAAAGACAGGCTATATGGAGCGTTCCCCCAAGCTTGGGAAACTTAGCTTCAGCCTCTCCACACAAAACATTGCTGCTCTAAAAGATGAGGCAGAGCTCTGAACCTGAGGCTCCCCCGTGCCAGGTGAGTGATGCAGTCCTTTTCATCCTGTCTTCCCCGCTGGGCCTTAGCTCCCTTTCGGTTTCTTGCAAATACGGCTGCTGCAGCAGGCACTGCTGGGGGGAGAGGCAGAGATTTGCCTGGTTTGCAGACCCACTTGGAGCTAAGCTAGAGCTCTTAGCAGCTTGTTCTCTGAGGGGGGGCCATCAAGGCACTTAGAGCTGTCAGCGGGAGCTGAGTGACAGTTTTGAGGATGGCAGAACTACCTAAGCAGTTGCGTTAGATGCAGAGAGGCATTGAAGAACTACTGAAGGTCTGGTTGTGTGAACACTGCTTCTCAGGGAGAGAGATGCTAGCAAAGCGTGTCGCCCTCACTTCCCCTCAAAGCAGGGGTAGGCTCTCCAGCGAGGCCACCGCGGCATCCCCTCTGGCCCTCTGGAAGCAGAAATAGAAGTGCGCTGCTTTATGAGAAAGGAACAGGGTCTCATCGATGATTAAAGGCAAGGCCACGTGCACAGTGTGAATTGGGGAGTTCAGAGAAGTGAAGCCAGTAGGCGAGCCTGTAGATGGTATCTCACCTGAGGCAAAATGTTCTGCTACCTGCAAGGAAGGGGGAACTCTGGTCTTACTATTATTTATTACCGTGCCATTTTTAGACCCAGCACATGGTCTCATGTGCAGATGCAGGGAGAAATTACCCTCTCTTCCAAATTGCTGGCAGTATAGATAGAGAAAATTTAAAAGGACCCATGTGCAAGCCCCATTTTTAATGGGAAAAAGGGTATAGTTGTGCTCGCAGCCAAGTGCAGGTGTCAGCTGTCTGTCGTAGCAAGGCCTTTTCTCTGTCTTACTGTAAACCTTCCAGCAGATGCAAAGAGGTCAATTCAGCCCAATCCCAGCACATCTGCGGACAGAGGAAGCCCAGCCATGAACATGCAAGTTTGGATGGACACCAGCTGCACACAGCGTGGTCCCCAAAGTACCCAGAGCTCAGCTTGTCCTTAGCATGTGGAGCCCGAGGAAACCTGTACCACACCTTGGCATTAAACCTCCTGTGTCTCCTTCAAGGGGCAAACCCGATTTTATCTCTCTTTGATGTTTAAACTCAAGTGTTGCATGCCTGGACTGAGATATCACCTACGTGATTATGCTGTGAGACAGGATTTCAGTTGAATCCTGCGGTTGGAAGCTTAACCTTGTAGCCCTCTCGGTGACCAGAGTGGTGTTCTCCTTTTCCAGAACATGATAGAGGAGTGTGACACAGCAGCAGTGACTTCCCTGATCCAGTCACACCTCCCAGAGGCTTATCTCAAGGAGGATATTGGTGGAGAGCTTGTGTACGTGCTTCCACCCTTCAAGTCGGCAGTCTCTGGGGCCTACCAAGCACTTCTCAGAGCCCTTGATACCAGTTTGAGTGATCTCCAGCTTGGTTGCTATGGGATTTCAAACACAACCGTGGAAGAGGTATGAGCTCAGGATCCACTCAATTTAATGAAATGCTGTGGAGATTGACTTCATAGCGCTGTGCAACTCTGCTTTCTGGGCTAGCTGGTGATGTGCTTGGGATGTGAGAGTTGTGGGCAGGGAAGATGTGGTTTGGTTGGTTCACTGTTTGTGTTACATTTATAAACGTGTTGTGAATGCGTAGATGCATATATAAATCTATAGATACGCTCATGCCCAAAATGTAACCCTGTCTCACCTTGCTAAGCTCTTTTCAGCATTTTACCTAGAAAATAAGATGCCGGAGTTAGTTAGACTGTGGAGAGAGGGGAATGATGAATTTCTGTTTGAATTGTGTTTGAATTCCAAGAATTTGGGTTTTATCTGCAGACGCAATCCGCAGGGAGGGAGTTAGCAAACAGTCTAAATGATAAACTTCTCTGTGACTGCTGTATTGTACAAGTGAGTCACTTGGTGCTTCTCAGAGTAATTCATGCTGGCTGGCTGCTCAGTCTGAGAGGTGATCTTGTTTCTGTTCGCAATTAGGAACTTTTTTCCCAGCCGCAGATTGGAAAGAGTCTATTCTTCGGGAAGTGGTAGGTGCTGCTATAAGGACCACACTCATCCTTGCGCCTATTCAGAGTCTAATGTGACTGACTCTAGCAAGCGCACCTTCTTATCACAGATGCCTTTCTGACCATAAGGAATCTCTTGTCAAATAAACACACTTAGCTGCACCAGAAACAAAAAAGGAGCTTTCAATGATGAGCACGGTCCATGTCTTCCAGAAAGGAGGCTGGGACTACGTCTCTCCACTCTGCCCGGAATTTCTTGCCTGTTTTAGGTGCTTTCCCAAGGCAGCAAGAACACAAATTGTACTGTACGTGCCACGTGTAACTCGGATGCCTTTTGCACGTGCTTAGCTACCTTGCCAATGTGCTCCCACGTGCAAACCCCACGAGTGCATGCAGTCGCAGTGTGGAAGCAGTCGGGATTGTCAGAGATTAGGGAGGAAAATATCCCAGGGGAGGTAAACCCACTTGTTTCATCACTGGTGATGTGCCATGTGGGGAGAGCCACCTGTTTATTGCTTCTTGCTGTGTGGGTGTGGGAGGAGTAGAGCTGTCAAGGGCCTGAGCTGAAATCTAGCTTCGTTTACTCCAGCTCATTAATCATGGTAACAAATGGCATTAGGATGAGGTAAGTCACAGAGGTAGCTGTAAAGGTTTAAGTTTCCACAGCTGCAGCAGGAGAAAGCGAAACAGGAGCTGAGAAGGGGCTGGACAAACGGGGTAGAGACCCTTTTGCTTCTTACAGAAATTTTATACTGCAAAAAGTGCATTTCTCTATCAGAGCACAAAGGAAACAACTGCCCCAGCAACTGCAGCTGCAAAGTAGGAGTAGGAGCTACAGAAGTGTGTAGGAGAGTGGGTTCTGATTATCATTGCAGTAAATGGAGTCATTTGGACCAGTCTTCCTTTATGTTTTCTTGCTCCGTAGGTGTTTCTCAATCTGACAAAAGAGCTAGGGAAGGACCAGCAAGAAGATGCTGAGTTGTCCCAACAGCTGTCTGGATCCAGTGGTCAAACTGGCAGTGACAAAATGTCTGTGAGCACGGATACCTTCACAGAAAGAGATGGTACTGATTTACCTTCCGGTTTTATTCCAGATTTGTCTGAGGTGCAAACAGTGGCAGACAGACTGATTTGGGCTCCACTGTCCTCTTTCTTTGCTGAAGAGCAAGTTTCACCCAACCAGGAATCGTGAAGCAATCAGTAAAAGTACAGCACTCCACAGTTGTTTAAATCCACTGGTTTGCAATAGTCTGAATCACAGAATAAATTACAGAGGGGTTTTGTTTTCATCCGCCTCCCTCTAAATTGATTCAGGTTTTAATTTAATCAAACACAGTGTGTGGGTGAAAGAGCAAACGTATACCTCTGAAAATAATTGCTGTAATTGATGTAGAGGATTAATTCCATACAATTAGCACAATTTGAGAGAAACTTTGTGGAATCCCCTTAGTCTGCTGCAAAGGCAGCACGGCTCTGCGCTGGGTCCTCTTCTCTGATTTTTGCTTTGTCCCGAGCCGTTTCATTATGGTTAACAGCTCAAAGGGCCAGGCAGTGGGGTAAGATCACGTTCAGACGAGTGTCAAGCTTTACCAGTGTCTCTGAGGGTATGAAAGCTGTAGAACGTGGCACTGCCTAAAAATGAGCAAATAGCTGTCTGCATCTCCTTTCTCACAGAGTAGAAACGTTTTTACTTACGAATATATCATTTATACATAGGGAAACAGGCAAGGGACAACACAGAGGTATTTTCATACTCACTTCTCAAAGCTGGCCTGCACTTTAAATGTGCAGCACCATAAACAGTAACTCAAACTGTGTAGCGAAGTGTTTTATGTCATCCCTAATGAGAGCACTGAAGATGATTTGTTTCGTGTAGTATTACAGAGATTAATATTTAATAAAGAAGAATAGGTTGCGCAGGGTTTGGCTCTGTTTTTAGTATGCCGCAACCTTGTCCGCGCAAATGATCGATTAGTTTGTGCCTTGTTTTCTTGTTTCAAAATGGATTCTGTTATTGATTTGTGTCTGAGGACCTGCTTTCTAAATGATGAGAGTTTTCAGTTTGCAAATATAAAAGAATAATACGTTTCCCTGGAAAGCTACGGCTGGGTAGGTAGGAGGTAGATGACTTGTTGCACCTGGAAGTCTGTCTTCCTCTTGCAAGATGTCGGAATACATAAGCTACGCACACATATCTGAAATCAAGCAGAAAATTGGTGTTACCTGGGCGCATGACTCTGGAGCCAGAACCTGAGTTCTGTCCTAGACCTGACACTGTTCCACGCTTGCGTATGCTCCAACTTTGTAGTTTTGATTTTCCATCTGTGAAAGAGAGCAGGAAGCTCGACAGCTACAGGGATACTATAACCTTGAGATCAGCAGTTTCACAAGTGCTGATCCTTGACAAAATGCGTTTCTCTTTTGTACCCAGATCAGCTCCTGATTAGATCAAAAAGCCTGAAGGGTTTGCCGTTGCTGCTCAAGAAGACATCAGCTATGTTCATTAAGAGATTCCACCACACTCGACGGGATGTCAGAGGCTTCATTGCTCAGGTCATCCTCCCAGTCCTCTTTGTGATGGCCGCAATGGGACTTGGGACACTGAGAACTAAGGAGACTGAATATCCAGAGCTGATTCTTTCCCCCTCCTTGTATGGCACATCTGACCAGGCAGACTTCTTTGGGTGAGTGGTATTCTTTCTGATCATTGCACCTGTTGGTTTATAAAGAGCCAGTTGTACCATCAAGCTTATTTCTAGGCAAATCCAGTGGAAAAGTGTTAGGCGGATAACCATGTAATGGTAAAATGCTGTTCCTAGTGGGTCTCTTGGGAAGACGGCTTTGCTCAGCCCAGCAATCGGAGAGCTTTAGAAAAATAACCTCTCCGTTGGAACGAACTGTGAAATATGTGAGAAATGCTGTGTTTGCTGTTGGAGACCTCTGGCCCCGTGACAGCCGTTTTTCCCCAGAAGGATTATTTTAAGTATGTAATCTCTCCCTCTAATTAGAAAAGTAAGCACCCACATCAGTTGGCTCCAAAATTACAAGTCCAGGATCAAATTCTATCCGTCTTGTGAACTGTCTGCATCACCCTCTCCTCTGTCAATAAAGGATATGCTCTCCTGCCCAGACCTTGCTTGTCCAAGGCATGCAGTCATTTGAAGGACGTGCCCTTTTTCAGTGTCATTAAAACTTCACCACTGAATGATTTCATTGTACTTAAAAAACCATGTACCAAAATAATATAATTTTTATCATTCCGATTTCATGCCGTGCAATCCTGTCTTGCTCCAGTAGGTCTGAGTTTTCAGTCACAAGTATAAGACTTTGCCCAAACAGCATTACACATCGTGCACGTCCGCTCTAAGGTATTTTTCCCTAGGACTGCTCACGCCTTTCTGCTTCAGTATAGCTAGGTGGGGGAAGGAGCCAGAACCGCTTGTCTCTTTGAGTCCTCTGTTCCTAATGTTCTCTATTTCTCCTGATGGGTGATTGCTAGAGGGCTGGGTTGAAAGGGAGAAGCACATTTTGAATGACCTAGGACACATGGACTTCACGGAAGTGAGAGCTGATTGAGACAAGACTGAGACTAGTGCTAGTGCTACAGGGCCTTGAAAATTGCAGTAGGTGGTTGTCCCTAGAAACAGAATTTTGATTGTCCAAAAGTTCATCAAGATCTTGTTCAGCTCTGGAGGCAGTAAAGCACTGGAGGAGGTGTGCAGCTCTAAGCAGAGAGCGATCCCTTTAAACCTGTGCAACTGCCCTCATGTGCTGCATGTACTTAAATGGTTTGAAGGGTTTGCACCTGACATAATCATTTTTTTAGCATCCTAAATAAATCCTGTTTCATTGTTTCATTCAGCCACCATTTTCCTCTGCTCAGTGGTAGCGGAAGTACCTTGAACATTTCTCTCTCTCTCTCTCTCTCTCTCTCTCTCTAACTTTTTTTTTCTTGTTAAATCTTAGGAATTTTAATGAAACCACAGATGCTTTAGTTGCTTCGATGCTTTCTTTCCCTGGAACAGATAACACATGCATGAATGAAAGCAATTCGTAAGTAGCTCTTGGTGCTCTTCCATTTAAACTGCTAATCTGCAGGAGGAACTGCCCTACCATTAATAGCCATCAGACCTTAGTAACGGTCTTTGATCATCTGCGGAATTTTCTTGTGGTGATGCCACATGCAAAGAAGAGATATCTCCTGCCTCTCTTCACACTGACTCGCATCACCCTGAGACGTCTGGAAATTCTAGACTCGGCTCATTGAGATGTCTAACTGGCCTTTTGCAGGCAGGCGCAAGCTTGCTCTGCTCACAGGCTGAGCTGGAGGGATGCAAGTCAGTTCTGAACCAGATCTGAGCTGTGTGGCTGCAGTTGGCGTGAGGTAGACGGCCCTGCCGAGGGTCTGCACGGCTCCTGCTTAGCTTGCAGTGAAGGCTTGTATCTACCAGCACAAGACTGTAAATATCTACGTAACTTTGAAGACAGTAAACGATACTATGCTTTAAGGCTGAAGTTGGGACTTCCACACCCTCCTAGCTCCTTGACAGCAGTGATGTTGCTTGCCTGCAGAAGTATTCACCCCTGCGAGTGGACTCCTTGACTACCCTGAGTAGGGTATGCCAGGACCAGAGCAGGCTATTCTCATAAAGAGGGAAGCAGTCCTTCCCTTGCCAGTAATCCCACGTATAGCACTGAACCCACCCAGAAAGTTCTCGGTGTTAGCTGTTGTGACCTGCATCTAAAAGCTGTGCCATAAGAGCTGGCTCATCTGGGGCTCTGCAGATAAATTGTCAAAGAACCAGTAATTTAGGGGAAAATTACTACCGGGGGAAAACCCTGAGCAGACCTGCATGGCCAAGTGTGTTGCATACCTGCATGCAAATACTTACGCTGACCAGACACAACTTCTGAACCATCACAGGACTCCCCAGTTGCTGCAGTGGCACTAGCACCTAGTTTTCAACTGTAAGATGATTTTGGCCTTTGTATACTAACTCCTTACGCTCTCTGCTGTGGGAGGTAGGCAGTGTCTTGGTTCTGGCTAATCAGCTGAACGAATCCAGGCACGCAGAGGAGTAGCGAGGGCTGTCTGCTGGGAGCCACTGAACTCAGTGGGAGTATTCTCTGGAGCACCCAGAGCTGACAAAAAGGTCTGTTCTTCTGCTTAAGCTATGCGCTGCCATCCTTGCTGTCCTTAAACGTGGCAGCCATTAGTGTCATTTGCACACCTGAACATAGAGAAGAATCTCAGAGGCAGATGTGCTCACTTTCAGGCGATGTTTAACAGAGGACATGCTTGGCCAGTGGATTACCAGTGGAAAGCAAAGAGCTACGTATTCTGCCTGCAACTGCACAGCTGCCATCCAGGTAACTGAATGAGCTCAGAAGAGACAGACTGAACATGGGGCACTGGGAGGCCTTACAGGGTGCGTGTGATTTTGTGGGCAGGCACAATACTAAGGGGAACTCTAGTGTTCATATCTCTCTCTCTTATGGCCTTATTGGTTTTGTACCCTGGCTAACCCCTGCCTGCATCAGTTTGGGGGAAGGAAGGAAACATCATCCTCAGAAGATTCATGTGCTAATATGTTTCTCTGCCTAACTTTTCTTCGTGGAGGTTTAATGGTCTTTTTGACTGTTGTGTGATTGTCCCATTTAGCAGAGGTGAGCAGGTATTCAAGAGGAAAATTGCATTTTATACAGCACTGTCTTTATATGAAAGCACAGCTATTATTGCTGTTTGCTCTTCAGAATTTAACTTTATGCAAAGTGTAGATCCATCTGCTTTTACTCTGCTCAGTATTATAAATAACAACGATTAATAGTAATAATTTGCATTACAGTGGAACATACAGAACCAGGTATGGGCCCTGCTGAGCTTAGTGTCTTTATATGCACTTAAGGAAAAGGCAGATCCTGCCCCAAGGACCTTACAGTTTAACGTGTTCAGCTTGGAGTCCAGCTGTCCTCCTTTCAGTGCTGCTCGCCTGTCTTCAGCTTTTTCCAGTAGGAAATCAGACCCAAGGCACAATGTGATGCTATTTGTAAGATAAAGCATGTACTTAGTTGAACGTTCCTAGTCATTCCTTAAAACGCAGCTATTTTATGCAGTTTTCTGGACATAGTCTTAACTTCACATCATTAAAAGTAGTGGCATCATTTTTCCAGTAAGTCAGGATAATATTTGAAGCTGATTCCCACCTCCAGAAGGCACAGGCAGGTGTTCCTCAGCATGAGAGAAGCTATTTTGTCTATTCTGATGCAAAGTTATGAACAGAGACGTGGTGGGGAGGGTAAGGTTTTTATTATGTATGAGCTGAAAGAAGCAGCCGGCGTGCTGTCAGATAGGACGTTTCAGCCTTAAGAAGCAGTCGATGCAAGTTTGACCCTCAGCGTGTTAAATTACATATTCGGGACTAAGCCAAGGTTTCTCTGCAGCTCCGGACACTATTCCCGATGACTGATAATGCAGCAAAAGCATACAGTGGGGCTGCTGATGAATGGAAGATGAGAGTTTGAGGTTGCTGCAGAGTTGTGCGCTCTGTGAGCTGTTTTGCCCTGTGCCATTGTCTCTGCAGTCATTCTGAGGCTCTGCTGAACAGGACAGGCCCGAGTTCAGCAAAAATCTTCCTTCCTAGCACCAAGCACATTTCAAGGTCTCACTATTGTCAGGAGAACTGGAGTGCAGGTTTAAGCCATCTTTGTAAGCACCTTGCTAAACGTGTTCAGTACGGCACACAAGGATGTATGGTGGGTGTCTCAGCGCCCTGATTTGCAGATCACTAGCTTCTGTAAAAATCAGTCCCAGGACCAGAACGTAGTCATTGCCTGCTCTCAATCTCATCCTGAAATACCGAGTTTTGACTAAAACAACGACAGGAACAATTTTGTTTGTTTCCTCTCAGACATGCCCACCGATGAGCTATTCTCCCCCTCACAGAAGAACCTTCTCCACGCGGATGCTTTATAACCTCACGGGGCACAATGTGGAGACGTACGTTCTGGCAACTACCAAAGACTTCCTGCAAAAACGGTACAGCATCAGTCTCCGGTCCCTCTCCTCTGAACTGGTTTGGGGACAGCAGCTTCTTGTACATATAATTCCATTATATGGTATTCCAGTTAAGCAGCTCTTCTGTATTGGTGCCTTGCAGTACTGATGGCTAGAAGCAGAAAGCGGTTTAGAGGTGAATATTGGGGGTGTTCTCCCTCTCCCCTCTTCCTCCCCTAGATTGCGGCAGCTTCTGCTGTGCTTTTAGAGGTGACAATGCAGGAGGGAGAATAGAAGGGCCTCCCTGCTTGTAGTTTCTGTGAATCTGATGAAAGGAGGTAAAATGTACTGCAGTGACACAGTTATAGGTAGAGGTTCTTGCAAGTGCTCTGCTTCATCATAGCAGAGACAGCCTAGGGAAAACTTGTCAATCACCTGATAGGCTGATGGCTTGATCTGCAGGCAAGCCTTTGTCTGACTCAAAAATATTAAAAACCTTTGTCTGACTCAAAAATATTAAAAAAGATCTGACACAGACCATCTTAAAGTAAACCCTGGGGAGAGATTTTCGTCAGAGTTTGATTCTCTGAAGAGTCTCAGCGTGTGCTTCACTTCAACAAGTGCATCCTTTCCAGTGAAGGTAGAAGTTGAGTGTTTTCCTGTGCCACAGGACACAAAAAGAGCTAGAGCTATCAGAGTGTCTGGACTCTACAACAGAGAGCTGCACAACGCGTCTGGGGCAGAAATAGCCTGCCGTTAAGGTAGTCAAGGAATGTGTTCATCTGTCCACTGGTTTCAACTGAGCTGCTCATCTTCTGGGAAAATGCACTCATCTTATTCCAGTGTGGCAGCCAAGCAGGCTAGGAGTCGACATGCCTCCAAAGTGTTTTTCAAATAGAGGCTCTCAGCACAGGTTTGTGACAGGGCTGCCAGGTTTCTGTTTCCCTTGTTTCCTGCGTAAAGGGCTCCCGCAGCAGTGTTGGCTGGCTCTCACAGCGCCTACTGCGACAAGCTCTTTTCTTCCATATTATCTTTTTTCAAGTCAAGCTAGAATTAATAGGGGGGGCAGTGGCATGTACTACATGAACGCCTCAGCAGAGCCCATTGCTAATGTACTCCAGGCAAGGCTTTAACACTACCAGGTGAGGGTAATAACATATTTCCCTTTGGTTTCCACTCAGGTATGGTGGCTGGAGCTTCGGGCTGCCTTTGACAGCAGATCTCCAGTTTGATATCAGGCCTGTGCCCCCCAACAGGACGCTGACTAAGGTAACTTAACTTTACCTGCTTGTCATAGCACAGGAAGCGTGGGACCAAGGAGTGATGGGAATACAGGGATATTTCAGGAGATGAAGTGAATCCCTCTGAAAGCTGCAGCTTGGCAGGGGAGAGGGGACTTGCATTTCATTTCCTTTCCTCTCCTTGTTCTTATTCGTTGGTCTGACATCTCTTGCTAGCAGGAAACAGTTTTTCTGCTCTTATAATTTTATTATGAAGAGGTGAAAAGATCAGTTAGTGGCACCTTTTTCTGATGAGAGAACATATATACGTTAACTAGAGCTGGCTTGTACATTCTGATTTACAGGTTTCTTTGTTTCTGCTCAGTGAAAATGTTGTAACACATCAATGTTAAAAGCACCAAGGCTGAAATCTGAAGTAGCAGGAAGTGCAAGAGAGTTGACAAGATGCAGTTATCTCATTGCAAAACCTAACTACCATGGGAGTGTTCCTGCAAGAGCAGTGCTGTCTTCAGAGGTGGCTCCAGTGAAAGGGAATCACAGGGTTTATTGTTTTGCTAACACACGGCATTCACGTGCTCAGTTTGCAGATGTTTTCACCCCTCCCATCTTACAGACTCATCCTATATTTGGAAGTTATTTCTATTTGCTTATCACTTGTCAGATTTAGTACCAGGAAACCTCAACAGTGTTGGAACCAGGGGCAAACTTTCATCCCTCTTTTCCTCTAGCAGTGCTTGCTCTGCTAGGCCAAAGAGAATAAAATTGCTGAGTGCATAGGACTCGGAGTAGGCAAAGGCAGATGCCATGGGCAGTGTTTAAGCTTCTCAACTAAATAGCCTCAGTCTTGTGATGCCCTTGGATAGGTAATTTGCACCTCTAACCTGCGGCTTGTGAGTTGTGCCCAGAGTGGGTGATGGCGAATCGCTGCTAAGTGCGTGTCCTGTGTTCTGTTTCTCCCCTTCAGTGCTCAAGGTTTACTGTGGCATAAGCAAGAAAATTCATCACAGGGAGGGGAGGGGCTGTTGCTGAATGAGGAGGATGTTGAGATGTTTATGGCTATTTTCTGTCCTAAAGCACCTCTTCCTACTAGTTTTCAGGAGGAGTTAGATGTTTGACTGCTCTAGCCTTTTTTTGAGTCTCCAGTGCTGGTATTGCTGAGATCTGAGCAACTCGTTATATAATAACCAATTGTCAGTACGCTTTATGTACATATCCAGCTAGCACTTCCTCCTTCTCTCCCAAGAGGCAAATGAACTCGGTCTTAATGAAGCTGATACAACCACTCTCATGGAAAATGAAATGTGCATTTATACACATTGAGTGCTTAAATTTGGACTTAGACTTGTAAAGCTTATGACTTTGCATAACAACTGTGGAAAGATTCAGTTGTGCAAGCAGAACAAACCAAAAATACTATCCCTAACGCTTTCTCTCCCAATTTGTTTTAATTTCCCAATTGTGTGCAGGTGTGGTATAATCCAGAAGGCTATCACAGCCTTCCAGCCTATCTGAACAGCTTGAACAACTTCATTCTTCGAGCTAACCTGCCAAAAAATGAGACTTCCAGATATGGTAGGTGCCTCCTTTACATGAGCAGATAATTTCTCCCCTTTGCAGGGAATATCCTGGTTCTGTGAAAATCAGTGACTACACTTATTTTGACTTCGGTGAGGCCGTTTCTTTATTCCCAAATATGTGGATGCCTTTAAAAACGTGACTTGGAAAACATGAATAAGTCAGATATTTGATATGTCTTTCTCAAAGACTCAGTGGAGTTGAACAAGGAAGCCCCTAGCTCCTACCTAAAAGGCTTCTTTTATCCCACAATTGGCGACAGTTGCTATTTGTTTATGCTGCCTTTCACCATGGTGCTGGAATAACTGCCTTTTGATAGGTGCCCATTAGTTATGCATAGAAAAACTACTTTAGGTCATCTCCAGGGGTGGTTTAGATTAGTTAATTTTAATATTTCACCCTTCTGCTGAGAGGAACTCAGAATATGTGTGTGCATATGTGCTTGTCTGTGAATGTGAATGAGGGAGATTAATGTGAGATTAAGTGAGAAACAGTTTTCAGCTATATTTTTCCTCTGACACATGACATACGCAGACTCCAGAGAGTGTTGCTGGACCATTTGAGGTTATCAGTTCTCCTAGCTTCTCCTCACTAATGTGCTGCAGCAACCCAAACTCCTGCTGATAAACCAGAGCACCCTGTCTTCCTGGCTGCCGTTTAGCCTACGTTAAAGGTGCAGCCTCGACACAAATATTTATGTGTATGTATACGTCTCTAGTGATGGAAGGGGGTGCAGGGAGAGGAAAAAATTATGCTGATGGTGTTTTGAGAGATCTTACTCAGAGATTTGCGGGGTCTGACAAGACTAATTATTGTGTTCAGAAATGCTCTACTGGTAGATTTTCTTTCACAAACACTGGCCTATGAGCCATGTCCTGGTCATCCCTAGCCCCGCTCAACTCAGCTGGCTGCAGTTCCAGGTGAAAGTGAAATAGGTGACGACGTCTCTTTGCTCATAAGGCTTTTCTCCAGTGATGCATATGAGTTTAAATACAATGGGAAAAGGTACCTGATCTGAAGCTTTGCGTGTCATGCCATGAATTTAAGACACAGCAGAATGCTGATTACAAAGTCAAAACAGCATGTCTCTCTTCCCACCTCCACATACTGATGCTCTGAAACTCCCCTCGCAACAAGCTCAGCTCACAACAAGCAAAACCAGCGCCTCCGCCCCACCGCCGTCCTAAAATACCCCCCCGCTCGTGCACTTGAGATTTGCAGCGTGCCCTTGAGGTCAGAACAGTCAAGCGCTTTCGTATGCGCTGCAAAGCTGCAGTCCCTGCCCCAGTGGGGAGAGAGGAGACCTGAGCGGAGCGCTTCCAGCGGCACAAACATCCCAGAGCAGCTGAATTATTAAGTTGTGAGGTTTGCCCTGCCTCTCTATTCCCAGTGCATGCTGCAGTGAGAGCAAAAGCAAGACGGCTTGTGTGAACAGTCAGAAAGTTTTCCTGGGGATAGTTTTATACCAGCAAAATAACAATTTTCAGTGAAAAAGAACAGCACCATTTTTTATTCCATCTGTCCTGCTGCTTATGTGTTTTTAGAAAAAAAATGAGTAGTAGTAAATGACCAGACAGATAATTCTCCACTTCTCACTAATGATCCCATCCATGGAATGGGAAAAATAAAATGAATGGATGAGGACAGCTCCCCCGGGGTAGTGTAAATCCACTTTGAAATACAATTGAACAGACGTTCCGTGTGGTATGTTCCTGGCAGCTAAATCTATTTGTTGTTATGACAAATAAATGACAGTTTAAGAACCATTGAAACGGCCAGATAAAAGTATGTTGTCATTTCAGCAGTTTATAAAAGAGGTGCCAGTCCTGCTGTAGACGTTTGACTTAGACTGCGTATATTTTTAAAAAATATATAAAGAGCTTTTTACCCTGTCACTAAGCAAATCATAACAGCCTTTGACTTCTGTATATTGTGCTTTTTCTTCTCTCAATCCTGACCAACAAAAAAGAGAAAGCATTGAAATGGAAATTTTGACTTCTAGCCTAAGCTTCAGTAAAGAAAAATGGCTTTATAGTGAAGCATTAACAGATTAGACAGACTGTATCTCTTTCTCTCGCTCCCTTTTAGAGAAGGGTAACATTTCCTGGCTGTTTGCATGCCTTTATTGGCTGCCCGAGTTTTTAATTCCATTTTTCTCACTGATGACAAGGTTGAGATTTTTCCCCTCAGAAAGGAATTTCATGTGAAATCTTCTCTTTCAAATGTACCTGCACAGTATGGCACTTGATCAGCTAAACCTGCAGTCTCCTCCTTTCTGCCCACATGTCAGACTGCCCGTTCTGTGGGAAAATAGCACAGAATAGTTCTTCTGCTTCATATTAACTATTGAAAGTCAAGCACGTGGCTGTAAGGAGCTTAAATTTCAGAGGTGGTGTGTGTTCTAGCAAATCTTCTTGATTTAATACCACCTAGAGGTTCTCCAGCCCTCTCTGAGAATTGAGGTATTTACTTGAATGCCTAAATATGGATTTAGAACCTCATTTTTAGGCACAATAAACATCTTGGCCCAAAACCTTTTTCAAGTGGCGGCATCGCATTTCAAGTGCCCGGTCTAGAGACTGGGCTGCAATTAAACAGACCTTCCACTGGGGCTTGGAACGGGCCCAAGAGAGTCCCCCAAAGTTTCTCCTCTTGTTACAAAAGTCTCTTTATAGACACAGGTTGCCTCTGAACAAAGCAAGTGCACTGTGATGAATGATACCACTGTATTTTTGGGCTAGGTATTCTCCTCGGTAAAGAAGTGTTTGAAGCAAATCTGCTGAGGCTGTCTGCGCGTGAGCAGAGCATTTGTCTCCTGCCCCTTTTTAAAGGATCTTTTTGGAAAAGACATGCATGTCGCACTGGGCTAATCAGCACAGTAACTGGATTTTAGGTAGTTCCTTTGGACAAAAGGGTGTTTTCTAGCTGCGTAAGGCAGACTCGTTCAGAATTAAGTCATTGCCAAACGGAGACAGAAGTGTCTGAAGTTCACGTGGGTGTATGCTAGCATCTCAACAGATGCCCGTGTTGAGAAAAACATATATAATAGGAATTGGAGAAAGGCAAGAGGGAATGATTTGTTTCTTATGATAAAGGAATGAAATGCAGTGAGATCATCAGGCAGCAGCTTTAAAACGAAACGTATTCACCAATGCTGAATGAGTCAGTGTTGCGGAATCCAGCTAAAAATACATGAGTCCATGTGGACATGCCTAATTCTAGGCATAGGAGTGCTCCTACTGAAGTGAGCAGTGTAGCCTCTAAAGTCAGACAGGTGCTAGGGCTTGTATTTCAGATCTGCTGAGGATCTCAGTGGAGTCATAGGTACTCAGCCCATGTGGAAAGTAAGCCCTAATGGAGATGCTCACAGTCCTGCCCAAGATCGCACCAAGGTGACAGAGCAAAAAACCCAGCTTTTTGTCTGCTTTTCTTCTCTAGCCACAGCTTTCTATACGACTGTCAATCTCAAGAACTAGTGAAGGAGGCTTTAAGCTAGCCACATTTTGAATTTTTTCTCTTTTTTTTTTTTTTTTGCTTGTAGGTATTTTCTTATCGGCTCACCCATATCCTGGAGGACAGAGTCAAGAACAAGTAATGTAAGATTCATTTGACTGATGACTGAATTATTTAGCTGCAATAGGAGCAAACCTGCTTCCTGGAAACCATAAGCAGCCTAAATTATTATATAACTTTTTTTAAACGATGAAACTGTTCTGTTTGCTCCCTTCGTTCCCACTGCCCACGAGTAGCATCCTTCATGCCGCAGAGACTCCTGTTAGGGTTTCTTCAAAGAATCCCATATAAATCTGGAGGTCACAGTTACAGCATCACATATTGTTGTACTTTGGCACAACAGTAGTAATTATGTATTTTTTTTCTTTTGGCTTTTCTAATCGGTGTTATGGTACAGTGTTATGACTCCCTGATGTCAGCCTTTTTTGTTAGGCTTCATACCTATTGCCATGAGCAGTTACTATGTTCAGCAAGAAATATTGGCACAGAATTGGGACCTTTTTGCTTCTGATCTCCAAACAATGCCTCTGCAATAAGGGAGATCTGCCACTTTGACTCATCGTGTACATCTTTCTCCACTTTTTCTCCCCAGGCTGAACAGCTTGCTTGATATCATAGTTTCAATGTCTGTTCTGGTTGGCTACTCTATCACAACAGCCAGTTTTGTGCTGTATGTGGTAAAAGAGCATCAAACCAAAGCCAAACAACTGCAGCATATTTCAGGCATCGGAATGACAAGTTATTGGGTGACTAACTTCGTTTATGACCTGGTAAATAATTCACGTTCTTAAATGCACCAAGAATAGCATTCAGTAGCAGGGCGGAGTGGGGAGGGGGGGAGAAGCTCTTTATTTAAAGTTGATTGCCTAGACTTATTAGCATTATCACTATCAAGAGTGTTATGTAGTAATTGTTCTCAGAGGCATTGAAGACTGTTAAATGTGAACTGCAACACTGGATTTTGCTAAGCAAAGGCATTCCTTCTCTCTCTCTCTCTCTCTCTCTCTCTCGTGTATGTAAAACACTCAGCACATTTATATGAAAGCAACATAGAACAGGCCAGAGCTTGATTTAAATTTTAGCATGCAAGCACCAAGCTGCTTTTCTCTTAGCTTGCAGGGGTAGATTAGTTGTCAAGCAGGCTTTACGCATCTGGGTAAGGATTTGGGGCTTGAGGCTACAGCCATTTTGGAAACCCTGGGAATGCAGGGTGCTACATTGGCAGACAGCTCACAGCTGATAGTCTTCCATTGGGCAAAAATCCATGGCTAGGTTGAATGCACACTTTTAAGATTTTATACTATAAAAGTTTCTAAGCCAAGGAAAGCAACTAATGCAGCGATATGTCTTCCAGGACCTGAGCAAGTTCCCTGTTACAATGCTGCAGTGCGCTGCATAGATTTAGCACCTTATTCCTATAGATAGTTGAGCTCCCTAGCACTCTGCTGCATTATGAGGTGTGGGCATGCCCTTATACTCTCTGAAGTTTAGTTCCCTCATGATAAAGAGGGCTAATAGCACTGCTGGAAAGCATCACGGGGCTATGAGGATAAATATGCATGGTGTCTGGAGGCTGAAGTGCTTTGTGTCTTATGAATTACCTACAGTGCACAGTGTCAAACCCGCGCATAGTTAGAGATCTGCATGTGCAGGCTCTCTCTGCTTGTGAGCTTTGGCATTGCCTGCTATGCTGTCACGATGATCAGCCTATATACATATCCTACAAATTTCCATTGGTGCAGATCTGCTAGTGTCTAAAATCCCAAAAATATTACCAGTTCTTGAAAATATTAAGTCTTCAAGGGCATTTAGGTGGCCAGCCCCTATTTGGTCCAGTAAGGGCTGAGGGCTGAAAAAACCTTGGGAAACGTGAGCCTTGGCTCCCAGCACAGCTTAGGCTTCTAGTTATTACATTAACCCCAACACGTGCTAACAAAGCAGCCCTAACAATAGGGCACTTGCCACTGAATATCCTAAACTGCCTGTTCATAGGAACTGACATGGTTGAGCAACAGCACAAGTACCCCCTGCTTTGTGCAAAGGGTTTGAAAGGGGTCTGAAGGCAGCGTGGCTACGGACCGGCTTGGCAAAGCAGCCCCAAGTCACTGTGCAGAAGCTCAAGGCTGCAGCAGGGCTCTTTCTGCTTCCCTGTTCTGGACCCTTGTTCCAGGACTGCATATTTGTAAATCTGCCTGTGGAAAAATCCCCAGAGTCCTTGCCACAATCAGTATTCAGTGGGCTGAAACTAATCCAGCGCTCTCGGCAACTTGATATTTCTCAGTGAATCCCTGCCAGTAAATTCTGTTAAATCTCAAAGCTGGGGAAGAGAGGAACCTCTCAAGGCAGAGGTTTGGTAGGTCCCTGGCTCGACACAATATTATAAAGAGCAGATTTACAGGGCACAATGAAGTGGTCTGACCACAAGGCTAACAGGGAAACCCGAAGGGCTATTTTTCATTCACATCCTTTTTTTAAGGCGCTTTTTGCCCACAGTCTTGAGTGTTGAAGGTTAACCTATTCAGAAAGGCTTTAAGGGAATTCATGTGCAAGTCCTCCCAAAATTTGAGGAAGGCTGGGACCCCACCTGCATTTAGTTTCCATTAGAAAACCCGAACAGCACTTGTGGGACCAAATTCAGTTCTGACATTCCTGTTTCTGTGTAGCTCTAGAAAAATGTTTAAGAGTTATCATCCGAATAACATGTTTTTTAATATCGTTTTGCAGGTACTTTTTATGGTCCCTATTGGACTCTCGATAGGAGTTATTTCAGCCTTTCAGATACCAGCTTTCTGCAACAACAATAACTTACTGGCTGTATTTCTTCTGCTGTTACTGTTTGGGTAAGCGTGGAGCTTAGTTATTTAAATATCATTGCACAGAGTAAGAAACTGCGTATTGCAGGCTCCTGTGATTTGGAATCCCATGGAGAAATGCATGGGCTTGGTTTCTTCTGTGTACCCTTGACAAAAGGTGACTAGTTGCTCCTTCAAGGAGCAGTGAGCTAAACTGCTGTTGTCATGCCTATTTTATTCAAAGCAAACTCTAAGGGAGGGTATGAAATATTCAAGGTCACAGTGACAGCCCAGGCTGTAAACACATGCTTACTGAACTATTGCAAAGTTTGAGATATGGAAGCATTTCAAAATCAGAAAGGGGAAAAAAAAAACCCAGCAAATTTAGATAAAATAGGAAAACTTAGCAAAACTCTCTCCCTGGCTTTGAATCCTACACTCCCAGTCTGTCTTTTCTTTCAGTCTGGACCACGTGTTTAAAACATGTTTCATAAACATTTTCTCCAGATTCTAGTGGAATTCTTCCACTAGAAGCCATTTTTTCTTCCCTTAAGCTCCTATAATAGCATGCCAAAATGGTGCTGTTACGGAGCACCTGAGGTATGTGTTCCTGAGCTGAGGTCTTTAGTTGTTGGTTTTTGACCACTCTTTGAGTTACTGTGGTATTCTCTGCACTGCTGATGATTTATAGGTATGCAACGTTTTCATGGATGTATCTGCTGACCGGGTTCTTCAAAGAAACAGGAATGGCATTCATCGTTTATGTCTGTGTCAACTTGTGTTTTGGCATCAATACCATCATTACTCACTCGGTTGTGTTTCTGCTCTCCCAGGAAAAGGCCACAGACCAGGTAGGTCTCTGCTGATGCTTCAGTTCCTCAGTTGACACTTTGGGGTCTCCACCAGTTACTAGGTAAAACAACAGTTGTTGTCTTGTTGAGTTTGGTGGGTTTGAATCAGGCCCTTAGCAGCTGGCTGGTTTCAAGATTTTTGAGGCAGGCCAAGCAGAGGATGCTAGTCCCAGGATTTATGGGTTCCCTATAGATAGCACATGGGGCAAAGGAGTCTTCCTCGTCTGTGTGAATCTGCTCTCCCAGAGGAGAAAGAAATGATGCTGAGAGAGGGAAGATTATTAAAAAAAAAAAAAAAAAAAAAGATAGAAACACACCATGCAGAGAAGGTCAGGAAGTGAGTGTGGATGCTTGATACAAGGTTGATGGGGACTTAACCGTTGTTAAGTTCTTGCAGCACAAACTGTGGAGAATGACAACTAGATTTCATTGCCCCAAGTCTAAAGTGTGCTATGTTAAGCACAGCACCAGCTGTCTGTCATCTAGATCTGTAACGCAATCATCTTCTCTCTGCAAGGATGAAAAATGACTTGGAGACGTTGATGTTTCCCTGAAGTCAAGCCTTCTCTTAAATAGAGATTTCCCTGGGAATCAGTGGGATGAAGTGTATGTTTTATATTTGGGTTTTTTTTTTTTTTAATAAAGGGTAACTGCTTGATAAAACAATAGTGGACTGGAATTTGCTTTCCAGCCAGACAGGACCCATTTAACAAACTGCTGTGTTGTAGGGGTGTGCAGTTTTGTTCTTCTGTTCCCCAGTGGGCAGAGTCAGTCTCTCTCCATCCTAATTTATTACCTCTCCGCTTTTCTGTGCATGCTAAACCTTGCTACTTTAGTTACAAACGTACCAAACCTCTGCATAGATAGTTCATAACTGTTAGACTGCGTACTTGGCTGTTTTGCCTTGAATTAACTGGAAAAGCACTTCTATGTCAGTTAGAGCCAAACCCGGTGTTGCTGGAGATGGTTGTCCAAGGAGAACTGATAGGACTTAGGCTATAGAGGAGCAGGACTGGGGAGCAGCCCATGTTGCTCCTGAGAGCTGCTCTCTGCAGGGGTCTGGTGCTGTGGCTCGTAGCTGTGGGGAAGCACAGTGTCACAGTGTAGCTCTGCAGCTTAGCAGCCAGTATTGAGCTCCAGGCAGGTTTCTGGCTGCCACTTGCACTGGGTAGGGCACCCGGTGCGGCAGTGAGGGCCTGCCCCAGAAATTGGGTGCTGTTTGCTGTGGGTGAATCGTTCACAGCCTCAGAGCTGCCTGTTGACTTTTCTGACCTTGTGCCTGTGAAACTACCTGTCTCCAGAGCTTTTTACTCTCGATTTATCTTTGCTCTGAGACACAAGCAAATCCCAATGTAATTGTTACGCTTCAGCCCTGCAGTGAAATCTATGAATTTATTCCATGCAGTGACTGTGTTGCTCTTTTTCAGGGCTTGCATGACCTCGCTGAAAATCTGAGGCATGTCTTCCTTCTGTTCCCGCAATTTTGCTTTGGCTATGGCTTGATTGAACTGTCACAGGATCAGGCACTGCTGGGCTTCTTAAAAGCCTATGGAGTGGACTACCCTGACAAAACCTTTGAGCTGGACAAGACCACATCCAAGCTGCTTGCCATGTTTATTCAGGGCACCGTGTTCTTTGCCATTCGTCTCATCGTTCACGACGGGATGATTCAGAAAGTGTGGAGTAACATATTAGAGTAAGTAGCATCTGGAGTCTCACAATGAAAGTAGGCCAAGCCAGTTGCTGGTTTAATATCCAGCAGTTTAATTCTGGGCTCTCACACCGTCGTTGTCAGTAGTGAGGCCCATACATTTCCAAGATGCTTTGCAAACACAGACTAAGTTTTCTCTGGCAGCAGTCCCAGTATCTATCACTAATTAGAGTGTTAACTAATAGAAATACAGGTTACTGGAGCCCCTTGGTAGTCCCTGCTGGCTTGAACTGTTGCCTCCTCTCAGGGCTCTGGGTTCAGTGGATTGATACCTAGTTGGAAATAGGAGTCAGTCCACTGAGAGCCTTTTCTGTTTGCATCTGCCCCATCTCCTCTGGCTTGGATTCACACAGGGAGAAGGGAGTGCTGGTCACCAGAGCTGTTGGTACAGCGGTCCTGTCACCTGCACTGCAAGTGTTGCCACAAGGCAGGACCTGCCCCAGCTCAGTATGTTGGCTGAATAAGAGTAAAAAAGCCTAGGTGGAAAGAGAACATGGATTTTTAATTCTCTAAATGGAGCACATAGCAGGAGAGAACTGAAACCGCCTGTGTCTCTGTGTATAGTTGCATGCCCTGGGATGTCACAGGAAGGCTCCTTAGTATCCCAAACAGACGGGGCCGCTAATGGCTGCGCTTGCTAGAAGGTAAGGGCCTCTCTGCCCTTCCCGTAGATTCCTGTTCGACAGAGTGCACGGCAAAGCGTCGCTCCTGCCGCCCGTGGTCGACGAGGATGAGGACGTTCGGGCAGAGAGGAACCGGGTGGAGTCTGGCAAAGCTGATTTTGATGTGGTGCAGCTCCAGAATCTGACAAAGATCTACCACCTCCCTCACAAACGCATGGTGGCCGTGAAAAACATCAGCCTTGGGATTCCTGCTGGAGAGGTATTTCAGGGAAAAAGCTGCAACACCTCCTGCCCCAGGGAGGGAAACTGGAACAGATTCACAGCATCCTACTACCTTCTCTCACAGTGCTTGCCTCAGTCCCAGCACAACTGTAGTGGTTTGTTTTGCACTGACTTCTTCCTTCTCTCTTCCTTTGCCTTGAACTTATTATGTATAGCTTTTCTGTGTTACAGTAGTGACCAAAGGCTCCTGGTGGATTTGGGACACCAAATGATGATCTGAATACCCTAGAAAGAGAAAGAACGGGTGGGACAGTGGTGAGGGTATGCTTAGAGCAACATGCGTGCGTGCTGTGCTTACACAGCGCCTAACCTGTTGGGCTTATGGTAGGTCACTGGAAGCCGCTGCTATACAGTAAATGAAGACAGCGGTATTTGTCCAGTTACAATGACTGACCTAAACGAAACCATGTGTGAAATGGAGCGAGTAAAGTTTATCTGCTTGTATTTCCCCGTCAGGGAAAGTCTAATCACTTCAGCTAGATAGACGTTTTCATGAATCAGGAATTAAAATTGACTTCAAAGAAGCAGCATTCTTTGATCATGTCGGTTCAGTTACCTGTAAAAATACTAACCCACGAGAAAAGAAAAGACAGGGGCACACAGAGCAGCTCTGAGACCCAGAGGAAAGTTCTCAGAGGCTCTGGAAATCAGATCCTATCTCAGGCTTTGCAGCTGACTTGTGGGGAAGCTGGAAAGCAGTCCTTGGTACCAGATTTCTTGAATTGCTTGGATCCTGTGGTGATCCTGGGCATATGAAAGGACTTAGGACTAGGCAGGAGGAGAGCAGACTCACATGGAGATTGTGGCCACTGATCTTTCTGGCAGAGGATTTTTCAGAGCCACAACTGGCACTGAGGCTTTCAACTCCTTGCAGAAGTCAGCTGGCTGCTGGCTGAATTTTGGACGCCGTACCACTCTGTCAGCAGACTCCTGGCCATGCACCACACACTGTGCTGGGAGACTGTCCCTGCACAGACCTCGAGGCGGGAGAGCGCCTCGGATCGATGCTGCACTGGGCCCAGCACACGATTTTTAGATCAGCCAGTCCCAAAAATGGTATCAAAATAATAGTAATTATCAGCACAATGGTGATTGCTGATGCAACACGCAGCTGCATATCTCCAACCTTAGCAATAAAACATGGATTTTTAGCATGAGATACTACATTGCACTACAGGGAGCAAGTTCTTAATCTTATTAACGTAGTGCATTAGTGAGATTATTTGACAAAAATCTTGTGTCGCGTTAAGGTTTTACCAATGACAGGACAAACCTCACTCCCCTCGCTCCTATGAATACCTCTGTCCTGTCAGTGGGAGGCTTTGCACAAATTAGATGATCAGGATTTGGCCTGTCAGATGGGCTCACTGTGAAAATGCACGTTGCAGTAAAAGCAATGACTCTATTAGAGACACATTCTTGATTCTGCACTGTATTAAACAAACGGTCCTAATATAAGCTGCAGTATATTGCACCATAAACAACCTCCATTGCAATGTTCATATGCTCTGAGTACCTCAGGCTCTCATGTAATTCGTCTTGCTCAAGGGCCCAGAGAGAAGAAGTGACAAGTTGCACTGAGCACTCATCTCAGAGTGATATTTCTGCATTATAAATACAGTGTGGTACATTTCTGTGTTTCTCCCTGCAACCCAGTGCTTTGGCCTGCTTGGTGTGAATGGTGCGGGAAAGACGACCATCTTCAAGATGCTGACAGGCGATATTGGAGCTTCCAGCGGAAGGTTGCGGGTCCAGGATCATTCTGGGTATGGAGGATGTGATTTCTGGGGAAGGCACATGGGCAGATCAGCCTGGAGAACAGTTGATCAGGTTGGATGGCAAAGGAAAAGAAATGTGAAAGTCTGAAACAATATAAAACATTCAAAAATGGAGTGAAAAAGAACAAGGCAGGGAATCCAGCCCTTTGAGGATGGTATGGTTGCTTCCCTGGGGTTTGTATTTTGCTATTGTATCTGTGCTGTTCTAAGTGGTGGTTCTTCAGATCGGTTCTATTGCCAAGGGGGTCAGAATCAGATCCCTAGCTGAGTATGATCACGCTTCTGAGCTAATATCTGGAGACCAGTAGGACTCATCTCCACGTGCTCTTTAGCAGGAGCAGGCTTGGTGGCAGCTGTGCCATCTGAAGTGCTGGCAGTAACTGGAGAGTTGGGTACCAGACAGCGGGGCTAGCCGCTGCTAGCAGTTCTTCTGTTGCAGAATTGAGGGCCTAAAGGCCAAAGATGTGCACATTCGTAGCTTTTTCTTTCAAGGACGGGGGAAGGAGGGTAAGAAGAAGAAGAAGGGGTATGTCTTTCTCTCTACCGTCTGTTTCACAGAAGGCATTGGCAATTCAGTGCGTCTAAAATGACTTGCTGACTTTCTTACGCAGGTCCTTGAATGACATTGGTGAGGCGCACTGGTCTCTGTTTGGCTACTGTCCCCAAGAAGATGCCTTGGATGACTTGCTGACAGTGGAAGAGCACATGTATTACTATGCTAGGCTTCATGGCATCCCCGAGAGAGAGATCAGAGGAGTGAGTAATAGTGGGGCTTAGCTCAAGGCACATTTAAGTTATGGGGAGCTTTTACCTTGAATTAAGAAGTCCTTTAATAAACAGTAAAGGTTAATGGTGGCAACATTTGAAATCCTGGCTTGGGACTCTCTTGCTCAGCAGCCAGATGGGTGTTGTATGAAACAGGTCTCCTTTGTACTGTGGAGTCAGGGAACGGAACACAGTGAGTTTGATACTACTTAATGATCTGATATTAAAAGCAGATTTGTAGAAACCAGGGAAAAACTTCAGAGGAAGCAGGATTCCAGGTGCTGCTTTTACAAGTGTTTGCTGAGCCAGCTCCTAAACGACGGGGTAGAGCAAGGGGTTGCAAAAAAAAATTTGTAATAGACATCCACCTGGAAATTTATTCATGGACAGTACTCCTCTCCCATAGATCGTACTCCAGCTTCTCCACAGGCTGAATCTGATGGCCTACAAAGACAGAGTCACCTCTATGTGCAGTTATGGCACCAACAGAAAATTGTCAACTGCTCTGGCTCTCATTGGGAATCCATCAATTCTGCTGCTGGTAAGAAGCTGGGGACTTGCTGGGTGAAAGATGAGCCCTTCTCTGGACTGGCAAGGGTACTTTGACGGTCTAGTGAAACCTTCTCTGACACAGTTCAGGGAATGCTCCCCAAGTGCCTGCGCTTAGCCTGATGACACGTGCATCAGCAGAAAGCTTAGATTCCAGCACACACCGAAACTTGCTCTGGGGCCTAAGAGAGCGGTGAATCTGTTACTTGTTCTGTTAGTGTCTTCCAGAGGTCAAAAAGAGATTCTCTATTTGCCAGTTGAATTTTCCCAGTTCCTGGCTGTTTCTTGACCTTGATAAATTAAAGGAGCGCTTGACTACCTTGCACAGTCTCCGCAGAAGAGTGGCAACCATGACTCCAAATCTGTAGGAAAGTGAAAGAGCACCCTCCCTCAAGATTAGAACGTAAAACTATTTCTTCTAGATGTGGCTTCCTTTTCTGTTCTTGTTTTTCTTGTGCTTTATGCCATTTTTAAAATATCCCTTTTGGAGAAGTTTTTCACTTGCTGAGTTTTGAAAGCGTACAGTGGTCAGGTGAGCAGGTCTCCTAGCGTTACGTTTGATCCCTAGTGGACATAGATCTCCCTTGCCCCGACTTGCATCCAGTCTAGCACTTCTGCCTTTACTTCTGACCACATACACCAGCCTTTTAGCTGCTTTTGCTGCATACCGAATCGCAATACAAATGGAAGGTGGTGAAATTTCCCTGGAACTGACTACGGCCAGAAAACAAACTGTTTTATTTCCGTCTCATATAGTGCGTTATCCTCAACAATAACAATTTGGCACTCAGATATTGGCTAACAGTTTTGTCAGCAATGCGTAGAATAGGAGACAACGTACCATCTTTCATCTCTGGCATATTGTCTCGCTTGCTTTAGCAGCACGAGAGAGACACAGAGCACAGGTGCACATGGGGACCAAGTGCCAATTGACAGCTTTTTGTTTGAGATTGCGCCTACAGTGTTTATGGGAATCTAAAACAGTGTGGTATAAAATGCACAGTAGGGTTGATCTTAGATGGCATTAGCACAAATCCTCAAAGGATCCCAACTGAGGCTGGGAGCCTGGTGACCCAGAGTTCCCACTGTAGTCCCTAGGGGAGTGGGGCAGCTCCAAAGGACAATGAGGATGGAGGTCTTAGGCAAGCTGACCTGCCTCTGCATGAAGGGAGCCCGAGATGTCCAAGTCAAACTCATAATGCGGCTTAGGATAGTCTTTCTGCCAGATCTGTACCAATGGAAGCTGCTGATCCAATGCTGAGCTGCTTGATGGGTCACTGCGAGCAAACATAACGTAATGATGAACCCCGAAAGAGCACAAGTATTAGGAAGATCAGATTATATGTGGAAGTTTACCTTTGGTCCTGTCTTTCCCTATAGGATGAACCAAGCTCTGGAATGGATCCAAATGCTAAACGCCACCTCTGGAAAATCATCAGTGAGGAAGTGCAGAACAAATGCTCAGTTATACTCACATCCCACAGGTGGGGCTGGTTTGGCTTTGTCTCTGGTTTCAGGGTCTGGAGGATGTATGCACACATATGCAGAAGCCCATCCTTCAAAGTCCCCACTGCTTCTCACACAGCTTCAGGGCACTGAGCTGCAACAGCTTTGGGATTTCGTTGTGGCTGAGTGTGAGAACTCAACACTATTAAGGTGCCCCGTAGACCCACAACACCTTAATGCTTTATGGGAAACTAGGAAAGTTCTCCAATTGCTATACTTTTTATACCTTCACAATGACTTATTAGAGTTTCTTGGTTGGTTTATCAGCATGGAAGAATGTGAAGCCCTCTGTACCAGGCTGGCTATTATGGTGAACGGAAGTTTTCAGTGCATTGGCTCATTGCAGCATATCAAGAGCAGGTCAGTAAAATGCACCTATTTCACTTTTACTGAATGGCATATGGAGTTACTGACATACGATAGCTTTGAGGGCTCAGTTCGTGAGACCTTTGTTAATAAGGCATCACAGTAAAGCCTTTTTTTTGTTTCTTTTTTTTTTTTAACTACACCCTTGAAATTCTGCATTAACTAATGTGTTTTCTGCTCACAATATAGCCTTTTTTCCAACTTCAAAAGATGTGTTCCCCCAAGTAATCTACCCACTGCTAAAAATGTAAACTACATGGTGGGGATGAGCTTTGATTTCATTAGTTATCACGATAGCTCATTTGCTTATTAAGATTCATCCCAGGTTAACGTCTGTGACACCACTCACGTTCCACTCTGCCTGGGTTAGATTCATCCAAAGAGGCTGTGCAGCTTTCTCAAATGATTTTCTCTATCTGTTTTTCTTTCCTACTGTGTTTATTGTGTTTTTTTTTTCCCCCCAGGTTTGGAAGAGGATTCACTGTGAAGATGCACTTAAATAGCAACACAGTTAGCACAGAGACGCTGACACAATTCATGAAGTCACACTTTCCAAATACATGCCTGAAGGTAAACAGGACAAATGGAATCAGGGGATGACCTCTCCATCTCTTCATGTTAACCGAGAGTATCTTGTAAGATGCACACCTTGTAACATACTGTATACATAGATCCGTGCTCTCAAAGTGTAAGGGATTCATACACATGTACTTGACAGTGCTATCAGCAGCATTGTCTGAGGGTTGGAGCACTCAAGTTCCTTGGTGACTTAAACGATGTGAGCCAGGTGAAATTCTGTCCCTATGACTGGTTCCAGGGAAGCCCTGGACTGCATGGACATTCACTTTATATTCAGTGGGAAATGAGTTGGTCAAGTACTTCCAATAACAGAATCAGTGTAAAACTGGAGTAACTGAGCCATGAATCCCGCTCGTCACCTAAGTCCCATAACGCAATCCGTGCATTAATCAAAACACTATACTAGGAGTTGGAAATGCTGTATGGCTTCCCTAAAGCTTCAGATCTGGGGCTTATTATCCCACAGTTACAAAAGCGCAAAATGACCCAATGGGGAAACATCAGGCAATACTGGAAAATAATTTTCTCCACCTTTAGGAGCCAGAAGGAGAGAATGCACCCTCTTTCC